AAAAATAACAAATCATTTGAGAGCAATGGATCTAGACATGCATAATGATAATAGAAAACAAACTTTGGCTAAAACAAACTAAGAACATACAGACTTTTCAAACAAGATTTAAAAATTGAAAATTACTAATTAATATGCAGAACCATGGTCTTAGAAGGTTAATTGCAAAATTCAGGACAAGCAACCATGACCTTAAAATTGAGAAAGGCAGACATAATAATGTGCCGCTGGATAAAAGAACATGTGATATGTGCAGCCAAAATATAATTGAAGATGAGCAACGTTTTGTAATGAAATGTCCAGCTTACAGTCACCATAGGGACAAATTATTCCTGACTGCACAAAATAAAGTTCCAAATTTTGATAAAGAAAATAGTCAGAATAAATTCATTTTGATTATGGCAAACCATACTCTAGCACCAGCCTTAGCAGTCTTCCTAAAAAACAGCTATGGAACAAAACAGCAACAACTATCAGTGTATTAGGCTACATTTTGTGTTCATTCCATATTCTGTATTCACCATTGACTGCAAATTGTCTTTATTGTTTTTGACTTGTTTTATTTTTTTTGAAAAGTTTTTATTTTCTGTTTTCTTTTTTAGATTGTAGTTTGTTTTAATTTCTTTCTGTAAGACCCTTTTTATCCTTTCCTGAGGATTTTATGCGTCTAATAAAAAAAAATAAAAAAAAAATATTTGTGTATGTGAACTGAACCTAATGACTGAAAGCCTTTGTCATGGAAATCATTTCATGTTTTTTGTTTATTTTTTGGTGCCAGAAAACATTTCTCAACATTGAAGAATAATCATTATCATTTTTAAGTGCAAATTGCAAATGATATAAATATAATTTTTAAAACTATTCTCGGGACAGACATCTGGGCATTTTCCCCACCTCGCAACCATCACGTTAAAAACAAAGACCGAAAACACTCAGAAAATGGTGCTTTGAGATGCTTGTTGAAACAAGATTACCCCTGTGTGTGCAGCATATATAAATTTGGTTGTTCAATATTACTTCAAAGTTGACTTTGTGCTGTTTCTTGACTTTAGCTGTTTTCATTGTCTTTTTAGCCAGTGTTTCACAGCAGTTCGAGCAGAGCCCATAGAAATACAGGATTGATTTGAATACATTTTTTTTTCAGAAATACCGACTCTGTTGTTTTATTTCAAAATGATGAAGTACTTTATCAACTGAAACGAATGCATAAGAAATCTGACAGCGGGATCTCATTTGCCGATATGAACCAGCATATAGCAGCATGTATCGGAGGTGTTTTCTTACCCGTCACATCACTAACACCTACATGGTAAGCATTATACATGTAATGTAGCATACTTTAAGAGGCATCTTCTCACCTGTCTGTAAGATGCACAATTAGCATATTGTTTGCATACATTTGTATATAATTTACTCAACCCTTGGAATGTCTAAGTAAATTTTAACTCATAATCTTTATTTGGGTCCATCTGGAGCTATTTTTCGGGCATGCACCAGCCAATTTCTTTAACACAAAGACAACACATAATGGCCTACATATGCACGACAAATTATTTAATGACCCGAGCACAAATAGCCAACTTGTGGTCATTTTGGACACAAAATTTTCTGGAGCTGTTTCCCAGACTTAGTTTGTTGATCATTTTTATTTAGTTACAACAGCAAGGCATATTTATTTTGATATTCAGACAATAATGGCCTAATAGTGGCCATTTTGTTTATTCATTGTCCATGCTGAATCCTCTTCTTTAATATATCACCCTATTCATATGACAATTAGCACACAAGTACTACCAGTATACTCTTAGATAATATGGTAGGTTAGGTTGTTTCGTGATTTGATCAGGTGTGTCAAAGTATTTTTGTCTAAAATCATGAAATCGTAGTTTTCAAAATATTTTTAGGAAATTGTATTATGATCATGAGTATTGGGTTGCAGGCCGGGGTTGCAGGTGCTGGTCATGCTAGTGTCTCTGCAATGGCTTGTTCTGTTCTTTCTATCTTGGTACAGATAAGATGTGTGGAGCCATTTGGGAGACATGTACTGATCGATGTCCAATAAAACCAGACAGGGACTATGCATTGTCATGTCTTGGTGTTACCGTGATACATGTATTCAGAATAATTATTACCAATTGATCATTTTCCGATACCTGTGAGATCCTGCGTGAAATCAAACGTAAAAACAGTGCAAACAAAAGTCATAGCGTTGTTGTAGCCTCAAAACTTCGCATGGGATTCAACAATCACAAAACATTTTTTTGTTATTTCCATGCTCAATATACACCTTTTGATGATAGGCAATTTTAAATAAGTAAGTTCATTTCAATGCAATATTCTTCTTTCTACACTGAACTATAGAATACCAACCTTAAATCAAATATTTCAATTCAGCAGATGTTCGTTTTGCGTCTTTCCACTATGCAAGATCTCGGCAGTGAGAAAAAAATCATGGATTACAATCCTAGATATCAAGGCTGGTATTGTAAGCTGAGTCAGTCTTCAGCATTAGGTTCAAACTAAGTCGTCTTCTACACCATTCATTATGTGCTATTAAAGAGCACCCTCAAGCTGTCTGTGTAACTTGCCTTTTTTTCTTTTTTTTTTCAGTGGAATGCCAATTGGTGCAGAGCCTTGGGAAATGGTGAGGTCTATCTGTCCAATGCCTTCTGTAAAGTTTGCATCCATCAATCACATCACTAAAAGGTGAGAATTAATAAAATTGGAACACAAATAAAAAATTACCTGCTGCAATATTTGCTCTAGTAGTAGCACATGATAATCATATCATTCTTATATGCACTTCTCATGCAACAAATAATCTTTATATCCAACATAATAAAACAGACAAATTATATCAAGAAAAGGTCTTCATAAATGGTTTTGAGCTTAAAATTATATTTATATGATTGAAAAATCACTGTATTGCCTTCTTGCAGACTTCTTGTAAGCTCACATGATTGTCAATATATTATGCAACCATGTATTATATTCACGTTTATTTCATTTCTTATGACACTCATTTTTTTTATCTCCTGTAGCAAAGCATCATGGGATACTTTGGCATCTTCTCTTCTACACACGGTTCCACGCCATGGTATCCATGGTGATGTTGTATCCTTTTTGAGTTGTATAAATTTATTTCTGTGAATGCAGAGTAACCAAAATCATGTATGTCTGTATAACAATGAATTGTTTTCTAAAAACAAGTCTACAGATGGAAAGAAACCCTACCATACAAGACCATTTATGGGTTTGCGCATCACATGATAGTTTTAGCTCCTGTGAGTGTGAAGAATGCAAGATAGGTATATAATAAGTTTGGCGTGTCTGTCTGTGTATAATGCGAAATCTCAAAAACTTCTGAGTGGATTTCAATCTAATTTAGTGCATGGGTATTGCACAGACATGGTTATATTTAGGGTCATGTTCATGCATAATAAGCAGCTAATTTGCATATTAATTATCTCATTTCTACCCATGCAGGCAAAATCTCAAAAACTTCTTAGACCAGCGTTCCACAGCAGCTCGCACAGAGCCCATAGAAATACAATTGTATAAAATGCTCTGTGATGTAGCTCTGATACATTATTTACATTCATCGCATCTAATGTCTCACCGCATCTCACTCTCACTCTCACCGCTTCTCACTCTCACTCTTACTGCATCTCACTCTCACTCTCACCGCATCTCACTCTCACTCTCACCGCATCTCACTCTCACTCTCACTCTCACCGCATCTCACTCTCACTCTTACTCTCACTCCCACTACTCTTACTCTCACTACTCTTACTCTAACTCTACTCTTACTCTACTCTAACTCTCACTCTCACTCTCACTCTCACTCTTACTCTTGATCTCAACAGAATCTCAGTAGCCATTTTTATCTAGGGTCAATTAAGAGTTAAAGCTTAGAATATATTGAGCATATGAGAGAGAGATACCACTGGGAAAGATATACCACTGGGAACTAACTGAATGTTGTCATGGCAATTTGGTGGTAATTTCAATGTACATCAAAAATTCACCTTGTACAAATATCAAGGCCTGTATCACTGAACTAAATATTTTGATATGAATACCATTACCAATCACTGTTCCCTTTAATTTTTTTAATCTTGAAAATACTGTGAAAATTTGCCCATTTTCCCTTGAAATGTTTTTCTGCATACAAAATGCATGAAAAGTTTCTCAAAAGACAAAATTTCACTGAGAAACTACAATTGAATCTGAGAAAATTTAGCAAAAATAAGGCTTAGAGGGAACACTGATTACCATAGAAACCAATGCATAAACAAATCATATTTTAATATTTTCCTAAGAAACTCTTGTTTCTTGATACATTTTTCAATAATGTAAGTAAAATAATGACATTTGGAAACTCGTCTTCAGTCCTAATGAATAAATTACAAGAAGTAAATGCGAGAGTTATTTGTATGACGTATTTCTTGACGCATCTCAGTATTCAGCTATGTCAACCGTGTGTGTCGTCAGAGGAGATTCAACTAACACTTTCCCACGATACATCAGGACAGTAGAAGATAAAATTAAACATGTGTATAACTGTGTTTCCTGGAATCCATTCCCTGTGGATGTTTGGATCAGTGAGTACAATTAAATTTTATGTTATCTGACATCACCACATTTTGAGTCTGACTTTGATATCTGAAAAAATGATTTGACAATCTGATTAAAATTTTTTGCAAGCAGCGAGAGTTCTGCTTTTAAAGCGCAAGGGTCATCAGCTGTGGATGTGCACGAATTGACTCCTAAGCATACTAAAACGCAAAGACACATGGCTAGACAATTGTTTGTTAATAAAATGCTATGGCCGACTACCGCAGGTGACTCCCCTACTTTAATTCCAGTCAAGTCTTTGAATACATAATGATGTACGTTTGACCAAAAGACTATTCAAATCAACTCCAATTGTTGTTGGAAGACGCATAAGAAGTCAATTTACATGCTGCTTCAAGGCATATATGTATGAGAGGTATGCTGCATTTGAGAAATACTGTGGGGAGAAGTTGATTGAATATGATTTTATTGGTTGTTTGGGATGAATACTGGAGCATCTATATTATTTGCGGCACATTCGCTGTTTGACAATATGGTTGCCTTTGATGTAGAGGGGTCTATAGCAGTTTATTTTATATAATACATGTACTAGGTTATTACAAGGATACCGCAAATTATGCATTAAGGCAGTAAGGGACGTGATCATATAGACCAATGCATAGTTGAGGTCGACGTGATTCCTTACTTCCAGAGTGCATAATTATTATTATTAATATTAATGATCTACATCTTTTCCCGCATAAAAATAATAAAATAAAAAAACAACAGTTCAAAATGCCAGCAAAAATTATTTGTGCCTGCACAAATGTTTGCGTTCAGTGACGTGATTCTATTCCAATCACCTGAGATTGTTACTGCGTTAAATGTAAACAAAAGAAAACGTTTGCACTTGATGAACATTTTCTAAATAAAGACAATCGAACATGTCCGTGCGACAGACAGACAGACAAACGGATGGATGGACGGACAGACAGACAGACAGACAGACAGACAGACAGATGGACGAACGGATTATATTGTTTTTGGTGCTAGATGTAAAATAACACTACAATTAGCTTTGATCAAAATATATTATTTTGTTTGTTGCTAGGTGATATGAACCCAGCTTCATTTCCTGGTACAGCATCCATGACCATTGCAGCAAATCGGAGTAACATTATCGAATATACTGAACATATCTTGGAAAGATCTAAAGAAATGTTTGATGCTAAAGCTTACCTGCATTGGTACTGGAAATATGGATGTGAGCAGGTGAGTTGTCATTCTATTATTTCAGTGTACGTACAGAGCCTTTCAGCTGTACTACTCCAGCACTTGGGACGAGGGGGAGGGGGGTCCCCATACTATCCCAGAGATACATGTATTAGCAGTACCTTCTGTTTGCTGAATTTTGTAATAATGCATCTCAACAGATTATAATCAGTGTTTATTCATGACATGTGTACATGTACACACTGTAAAATGATGTATATTCAGTGGGTTTTAAATTCACGGTTTTATCATTTAGATAATGTGTTCTATGCTAAATTTTACATATTCACTGGGTTTTAATTTAGCGCATTTTCCATTCAGCAAAATAAGCAAAATTAAAACCCAGTGAATAATTAACCCCTCACAGTAGCATTTTTCCAAGCAGTACATGCTCGAAAATATCTTCTGGTTGAGTATTGGGAGACTTAAAAACAAAGATACTAGACTGGCCCAGTTGTGGCAATTTTTATTAAGAATTACTAAGAATAAATTTGAAAATTTCTGGATCCAACATGAAATCATCATGACTGGTCTATTCAGGTTTTTATTCTATAAAGAAAACAATTGCCAAGCATGGGCCAGTCTATAATACCTGTTTTATTCAAGCAGGAGGAGAGAAACAAAATATGTAGCCGTAAATCTTTAAATCCTAACAGAATTTCCATTAGCTTGCATGTACTCGCAGTGGTCAAACCTACAAACATGCAGATGCGTGTGGATACATATTAACTCCAATTTCACTTTTGTTTTTGCAGCAAGACTTCTTAGATGCCTTTGATACCTTAGAAACAGTGGTTTCCAATTACAAAGATGCAGTGAGGTGATCTCTATTGAAGACCATTGCATGAATACAGTAAACCACTTATCTTTTTGAATTTCACAAGAATGGACAAATTGACGCACAAGATAAAGTCGCTTTCATATGTAAATTTGATCATAAAAACAGTTTGTCCACTTTTTATTAACTAGTCTCCGATCAGTTAAATTGTAATGAATATTTTGTTTGTGGCCAAGATTGAGACGACTCTGATGTTTTAGAAACAAGCGACCATGTGGTCGAAAGAGCTCCGCTGTAATTGTTAACTGCGAGTCGGAAACGTAGGGTGGAGTGATGTTGATAAAGTTTGGCACCAGAAAAGAAACCTGTCATTGTATTATTACCAGTTTGAAGAAATGGAGATCATGGAGTATGATATGACCAGTCAGGACAAGATTTTTAAAATTAAAACCTAGACGTCAACTTCAACATAGATGTCTAATAGCAGCAACATTGAAATGACCTTGACCTGAAATTCAACATTTCTTAAAAGCATTGGCCCGGGTAGTTCAGAACCCAACAATAGACTTATCTCTTGCAATCCATGTGTTATACATAGCCCATATATAATGTAAGAAAAAAGTTGACAGACGCAGACAGGTCCAGTCAACCCATGAGCCCCGTTCGGTCATCTTCAATGACATCAGAGCTAAAAACATGTTGTGTAATTTTACTGGAATCTAGAAATTTTCTGCTGCAGCGATTTTGGAGTTAAATGGATAATTTGTTTGCGGAAAGCACAAAATATTCATAACTTTAGATCAATGTACCATACACAAAATTATCTCCCACGTCTTGGATCATGTAATGACAAAATTAAAACATGGTAATCTTCATTTGTTTCTTTATTATAAAAAAAAAACTATCTTTAAAGTCACTCAAACAATTCTGGAACAGGAATGATTCAAGTTTGGTATTGGATACAACATTGATAGCCTTTATCAGTCATCATTGTTGCCTTTTCTTCACTGTTGAAACTTTAATAATGAATATCATTGTCATCAATGATGACAGCGGCAACTGTTTGCTGGACTAGTTTTTCACGTGATCATGTGACCTGTCATTACATACTATGGAAAATGTTTTTGTATTAACTAACATGCCCAGCATGTTTTATAATAAAAGAAAAAAAAATTATAAAGTAAAGTTTTTTTCACTTTATACACGCACCTATCCTATTTTCGTTTTTACTGTTAACAGAAACGTTACTTCATGGGTTATTTTCATTTAACATTCATAAATTGTTAATTTGACGCATCAGGTAAAAACAAAAGGACAAAAAGTGTAGCCAACAGCTAATCTGAATATTCTAATTTTTTGAACAAAAACTTGCACTATATCAACTGCAGCACATAGTCTGTACTCATTTGTATTATTTGGTGGAATAAATATTCACATAGTGACAAACCGACAATCACCCCATTTGTGATGTTGCAAATAAATGAACAAAATCTTTGCGGAAATTAGCATCAACTGCACGTTCACTTCATCAGTTTGGCAGTGTTATCATCCTTGGTCCATATCATCTTCTTCTTGTCGTTGTGCGAGACGTTCTTTTATTTTTGATAGTGGACTGACTTTCAAATCCGAATTTTTCTGTAATTGTTGAAATCTTGTAACATCGGCTAACCTAAAAATTAAGAAAACAGTCAGATTATGTCATTTTGCTGGAACTTCATCCCGTTCCTCAATCAAAGTTGGATATTCACTTTTTCATGATGTAAAAGTGGGTAACTTGCCCTACTTTACTGGAGGAAGTAATTCTGTGACAAACATACAATGTAACTAACTTTCAAGAACAAACAAATCCCCCTAACTCGGCAAGTATTTGTTGTTTACAAATGTAGCTTAATTTAGGAGGATAATAATATTGATTTACATTCTGCAGCTAATTACTCATCCCCAATCATTGCATAGTAAATGTTGCACGAACTCATAAGTCCAGACTTTGGCATTTTAAAAGCTGATGGTTGCCGTGTTGTGATCAATACGGGTCTAAAGATACTACCTGGCTGTAACCACTGCCCTCAAGGCTAAGAACTATTGTGGGACTAAATACTCCTAAGTACACCAACCATACATGTCAGCCCAAAATGCCAGTGATCAATATACATATATGTTCACAAAACTTGTGTCTGTGCAATGGTTACAGGATTCTATTTCTCTTGCACACTAGATTGCTGCTACATGCAATGTAAACATAGAAAAATGTGTGATATAAGTTACCAGAAATGGGCAAGGTGGTAATAAACAGTGCTTCATACTTTGTAGTAACCTTGACTACATCACCTCTCTATCCAACCACTTAATGTATGAAGCACTGACAGAGTTGGTGATTAAGTATTTAAGATTGTATTTTTAAAGCTACTTAAGTATTAAATGATACCTTTTGAATCGCAATACTCGGTTAATTTTATTCAGGGCAAAACTTTGAAGAACTATCAATTTGTAAAACAAACAGCCTCTTGGCTGAGATAATAGCAATGCACATTTCAATTGAAGATATTAACACAAAATGAACAAATCTGAGAGAGATCAACATGTAGTACCAATATGTTGAGTATCAAATCAATCAGACTTGTAGTTTTCAGGAAGAAATCGAAAAAATATATGGACAATCACTCATGATATGCTAATAAAAGTTGTCCAAATCACTTGCATATATTTTCTGTAATTCTCGGTAACTGTTCGCTTCTTTTGTATGAGAAAATGCACTTCTGTGACTAAATGGATACTTACATGGCTTTTTGTCTATCACTGCTTTTCATAGTTGGTCTGACTTTTTTCTCTGCACTGAAAAACAAAACAACAAAAGTCCATGTACAGCTATTCCTAGTAAATACTTGAGGCAACTACAGATTATGTCCATGAAATCTACCCAGCTAACACTAGTGGCACAACAGTATGTTCAATAGGGTTCTCATACTTGGGCATCCATGCCACATGTACAAATGTTTGAAAATAAATTATTAAAATACACAAGTGCAATGCCTTGCCTTTGAAAATAACTTTGGAGTTTTTATCTTGAGTATTAACCTTTTCACAACTAGACTTTCTGGCCTACATTATTCTGTACTTTTTTCTTACCGTACTCTACCGCGTTAGCGCCCATGCCCAGGCAAGCGCCCACCCCCACTTTTGCGCAATTTTTACATTTGGGGTCACACGCCCACCCCTTCAAAATGCAACTAATTTAAAATTTGGTCTAGCATAACAAATCCTGGTAATCGTTTTTATATGATACAGCGTGGATATCGACCGCTGTGAACATGTTGTGAATGCGTAGAACACGGTAACCATGCGTAAACTACGCTTTGACAATGACCTGTTAATACAAGTAAAATGCGGTAAATATTTCATGCCATATTCAGTTTACCTCTCAAAAATGGCTAGTTACTAGTTTTTTCGAAAAACTATGTCGTTAATTCGCTGAAATCAATTCCAACAGATCGTACTTCGACATCGATAATTCACTTCCACATTGCGTTACAGGAAAGTCTTTCTGAATTTCCGAAGAATTGCATCAGTACAACACAGCATTCTGATTGATTGATAACCAACTTGACCCATTAGGTCAAAGGACGCTGCTGTAGGTCAAATCTGCAAATGCATCATGGTGGAAAGCGATTTTCATCGAGAGTTTGCGTACGATTCAACACCTTCGTCGGTGGAGATAATATGACAATTTTGACTTTGACTGTGTTTCAACAGACTCAAATGTTTTTAATTTCGTAAATTCTGGTAGTACGTAATTAATATTGTAATAAAATGTGCATATTTGTGATCATTTCTGTTTCTTCATTGTGAAAATCAATGACGACTCAACTAATTTCGTAATTTGATTTTCCCTCAAAGACGTAATCTGTCACTTGATGAATAAAATTTATCATTTGCACTCTTTTTCGAGGGGAGTGCTCGGGTAAGCGCCCACCCCTAAAAAATCATGATTTTCTGAGTTGAGGCCCCTGGGCGCTAACGTGGTCGAGTATGGTATATTCTATATTTCTGGAAATGAATCCTAACAGACAAAATTTGAGTAAATTTTTAGTTTTTACTATTTTACTATTTTCTAAATTTGTGATGAAAAGCTGGAAAGTCTTCACTTGAGTATTAAAGTAATAGGTGAGGAAAGTGATCATGCACACTCAATATAAAGTACAGTCTAATGGAGACTGTGATGTTGCAATCATAAACTCAAGATGGGCTACACCTACATTTTTCAAGTCACACAACTGAACTGGGTCTTCATTTGGGCAAGTTGATAGGTGAGTGGACTGATTTCCATAGAAAGTAAGGTGCAGATAGAATGCAAACTGTGAAGCCTTAATCATAAATTAAACACGCACTACACCTTAAATAAGTACACATCTTAGAAACTGATGTATGGTTCTGCAGCATTATTGAAGCCAATTATTCATACTCACCGAGGCTTTTTCTTGTCTGTCTTCTGTAATATTTCAGATAAATCTGGCAGTGCCATAGCCAGGGGCTGTAAATCACCTACTACTGGGATCTGAGCTCGTTTTTTCGCCTCATTATCTTTCTTTTTGGCTAACTTAATTGCATCAATCTCTGCAAAAAAACATAAATTGAGATTTTAAAAATTCCCCATTTGAATGCAACAAAGAACATAAAACCACAAGAACAAAATAGTGGCTGAAATGTAGTTGAGGTTCATTGCAATAAATAAGTGTAAAAAAAAAAAAAAAAATTGTATACCATATTTATCAATGCAGTACTATGCATCTTATACACCTAACATGTATGGCTGTGATGCATGAAGCTGAATTGACTTTGAAATCAATATGCATTGTTGTATGCCCTGTTACACACAGGGTGCAAACTAGCCCAGGTATAATTTTTGAATAACTTGTACTATATACTGAATACTGTTAAAGGGTTAATTAATCACTGGGTTTTAATTTTGCTTATTTCGCTGTCTGGAAAATGTGCTAAATTAAAACCCAGCGAATATGTAAAATTTAGCATAGAACACATTATCTAAATGATGAAACCGTGAACTTAAAACTCTCTGAATATGCCTGAAATGGTAAATCAGCGAAATTAAAACCCAGTGAAAATTATTTTTCAGTAACTGTACATTGCAGCAACAATCTTTCATTGATTCGTAATTATTCTCCATAACTTGCTGCACACCTAACTACTGTTCACTAAATTTTAATTTGGGTATTTTTCGCTGATACAAGAAATCCACGAAATTGAATAAATGTTAACGTATACAACAGCCCTTAAAGATTTTTTTTTTTCTCCTGGCTATTGGCATTCCAATTTAAATTGTTAAACTGAAAAATTTGATAGCAAAGTACAATTATGTTGGATGCCAGAAGTTATGTTTTACAAATTATACAAAGAAACACCAAAATGGTCTCAATCTAGAGATATGTACATTGTTTTGTCAGTGAATTCATGAAATTAATCAAAATAATGAAGTTTACAATGTATATTGCAACTAATTATGGTGACCGGTCATTCGCCCATTCCTCACCGTCTTTATCGAACCAATTACCAAATGACATCTGTTCTGCTCCAAATGTTAACATCTTCAAAACCAAACTCAAATCTTACTTGTTTCAGCAAGTCTATTTGTGAAACTATTAAAGCGTCATTGAGCATCACAGCGATGGATACTAGGCACTATATAAACTTGTATTTATTATTATTATATTATTAACTAATTCACTTCATTCCATACATGCACTCACCTTTGGCTCATGCATATGGTGTTTTGTGAATCATGAAAATAACGTGGTATAACCCCACCCAGAGAGGGAGAGAGATACGAGGCACCATTGCCTACAGAGTTGGAAATCAGTGTCCATAACATTTTTATTTTCGTCTCAAGTCATTGATATAGTCACATACATTTTAATTTTTTTTTGAAAATTGACCTCAACAGCAGCAACAACAGACTTGATTTGGGAGATTCCATTTTGACAAACTTTTACAAAAATCAGTCCCATTAGAGGGCACACTGCCCCCACTTTTGGTGGGGGATATTGGCTAAATACTTTTTCAAACCAGGTGGTCCAAACAAAAGAAGGGTCCAATAAAATTGAGAACTATGGTAATTTGGTTGATGACAAATACTAATTTTATTTCCCACTTTTGCATTTTCATACCCTGAAACATTGCATGTACATATACAGTTAGCAGGGATCCAAGTAAATAACTGATGACTTACTTTGAATGAATAACTCGTGTCTGGCTTTCCTTTTCACTTTTTTCTTTAATTGTCCACTTTTATTTGTAACCGTGCTCTGTGTATCCACGTTCTCTTCATTTTTCAAAGACTTTGTTAATTGGTTTACGTCTATATCCGTACCGCTGAACAGTCCTTGTGTTGGAAATATCACCGGCAAGTTCAGTACTCCCTGAGAAATAAATAGTTGTAGGTTTTAGTGATGGGAGGGGGACAGAGATAATATTTTTATTTTGTGTTTATGACACTATTTGGCTCGTGTACACCTCAAGAAGAACATAAATAAACGTTCATGGTTATAGAATCTCGATGATCGCACTGACACTATGTGAACTTGTGTATTAGTATACTAAGGCACATAAAATGATATACACGAATTGGGAATACTGAAAATACTTTTTTTCTTGTTGTTTACATTCTACTCATCAAAAATCAGTAAAAATAAATTCCATACCAAACACCCAAATACTTTTCAGTGAGAATTAATTCCAGCTAAAATAAATTATTACATATGTACTGCAGTTTATTTTGATTCGTCCCTGAAATCAAAATCGGTATTTCCACAGCTCATATGCAAATGAGTCTGAGAGCAAACAAAGTAGTCCCTTCAGGAGTACCGTTTTTCGAAACATAGCAGAAATAAACAATATTAAGAAGTACCGGTACGATATTTTTCTCTTGGGGTACATGAATATACTTTCCGAGTGAAATAAAATTGGAACAGTAGTAATGGTACGTTTTGGCAGTCACTTATTTTGACAAAAACTAATTTGCATATCACCCATGCAATAATGTTTTCGGTATTTTCACGGTCAACATGGTATTTCCATTGGATACTGAACTATTTTTAATTTGTAAACACATTTTCGTGTGCTATTTTTGCCCGGTTCAAATCGTTCAGCAACATTTTTGGCATGTTAGGTGTACATATCTCATGGTACACTACAATTGGGAGTACTTAATGTATGTTGACCACCTGGAAACTGAGTTTTATAAACCTTGAAGGGTTCTCAGAAGATCCACCCACCGTAAAATCAGCGATTACTATGGAGCCGCAATCATCAACATCGAGATACCAGAAGGTTTCTGCTGGTGACGTTACTCAGTTCCAAATAAAGATTATAATGCCAAATGAGCAACTTTTAACTTTTAACTCAAGATTGGGTGTATTCTGCTGTACTTTCACGAGCGAATACGGCCACAGGATACACCGCATCACTCTTGAAAATAACTTCCATACGCAACGAAAGCCACAGGCAGGGTATGGGGTTCTGTCAAAGTATTGTACAGTATTATTTAAAGCGAAGGGATCATCAGCTGTGCACATACACACTAAAAATGCAAGGGCTCATGGGTAGACATATGTTTGTGAACAACAACACGCTATGCGCCCCCCCGGACTTTAAGCAATGCTTTTTAAGCAATATCATGTAGTACAGTTCCTATAAAGTTGTCAGCAAAATATGCATAACATTTCATTTCACTCATTGTCCTTCTATCTGATAGAAGGACAATGACTGCATAAGTTAATCGCGAGACCATTTCTTCTGCCGTGAGATTACGACGGACAAGTAATCATACCGTCAATAACGAGACTAGCTACAGCATAGTCATGCCTACAGTGATGTGTGTATGAGGATGCGTTCGGTTGATAGGACATTGTACACACAGCACTAGCTGCAGCAACGCTAAGAAAACTCCCGGAGAAAACTACACAACTGCATGGGCCACCTAACGTGAAGCGTACCTTGCTACGAGACTGTCGATCAGAAACTGCCTGATTATGTTCTTCCTTCTTGTTTATATCGATGTTTTTCACTGCAGACACGTGCAACTTTTGCCTCACTCTCTTCAGCTTACCCATGTTCGAATGCTGGAATTAACCACGAAGAAAAATAAGTTTGGCGTACCGTTTTACGACAGTGTCGATAACATCATATTGTCGTAAAGTGTTCGTGTATACGTAGTTTGTTTGCAGCGTTTGTAGGAATAGGTATTTAATCGAATATAGAATTGATAATGATTACTGTTTTTATCTGTCACAAATATATGGAAAGTATTGCTACGGTGTTGTTTTTTTGGTTTTGTTTGCAGCGCTGAAAACGTTGTGGACAGCGCCACTTGTGGTCATACTTTCAAATTGAAACGTTTCATGCTCATTCACTATTTAATACAATACCCCGTACAATACACTTGAACATAAAATTAAAGCAATGAATTTAAATGAACATAATAATATATATTGATTTAAAATAAAGTATAAACAAACAATGAGCACACAAGCTGGTTCTATACCAGTTATCGCTGAGGGCGTATAACACATTAACGTGTATCGCGACATCATATCGCGATGTATCGCAGGACAGCTTAAAGGGCGGCTGTCGTCGCGCCGCGTCCTGTTCGATATGTGACTCATAGCGACTTACACAACTTTAATTTATGAGTTACGGTCTAAAACTTGCGATTTTGTGCATTTACGTATGGAAACTGTCATGACAGGCTGAGTTTATCGCCGGTCTTGAATGATCAACCGAGTTTGGCCGTCAGTGCAGCCACATTTGCACATTCTTCCTCAGTTCTTCACCGTGATCTTTTTTCCACAAGATGGCACAGATCTAGGTTGGCCAGGTTAATCTTTTGACCGGCTCTAACACCATCGTTTTTCCCTTGTATACATGTGGTTAGCATGCGGTTAGATCTGATGGGACTGACGTTTCGGTCGATTTTTTTGCATTAATTTCATAATTTTGACCAATACATAGTCACGTGATGAATACCAAACCTATATACTAGTAGGCCATTATTTTGAATGCATCAAACTTCTTCTTGAGTCCAGCTTTCATAGTCAAATAATAAATTGTACTTAAGCCCACAATATTTGAACTAACTTTGATCTATGGCCTGTTAAAGTTCGCAACATAGGGAATATTTTCATCCATAGTCACCCTGTTCACAATGTGCACATAACGAGCTGCTGGTATGGATTAATTTGTGTTTTGGAGCAATAGAATACTTATATGTAATTAATTTTTTTTTAATTTGCATGTTGATAAGATAAAAGCATATTTTTTTGATGAAGACACCTTGTTTTTTTATAAATTTTAATGTGGATTAAACCTAACCAGACAATCTACTTGTGCAGTGCGCAATGACGCGCGTGACATGTTTCAATGTCATTTCATCGGCCAATAGAAACTTCTTGTTTCAGTTTGAAATTTATAATTATCAATAAAATGAATTTATAGTCGAGATAGTGACCGGTTGTGTGTGTGCGTAGTGACATCGAAAAAAAAAAGACAAATCAATTGACAAATCTAACCCACCAGAGGTCTACTTCGGCCACGTCAATAGGAGCGATCGTTCCCTTACATAATCTCTGGAACCGCCAGTGTGTATCACTACATTGCATGGAAATTTTCATCTATATATTGATGTTTGCAAATAATGAAATATAATTTTGTATCACATCATTATAGCATGGCCATAACATTCAGTCATTGCTGCAATGAACAGCTGTATAACAATATAAACACCAAGTATTATAAGGCCACATTCTCCGATAATTATTATCATTCCTTAGAAGTAGGTGTTTCCAACATTTG